AAAAAAAAAAAAAAAAAGAATGCGGTTTCTTCCTCTTCCCAGAATCTTGAAATCCCTGCTTGCCTGCCCTAATGGCCATCTGTTGTTTTTAATCTTCCCCACATACTTCCTACCTTTTTCTGGTAACAGCACCTCCCTTCCCTTAAGAGATTTGCTTCCCATTCATGGGGATCTCTTGGGGATGCCAACCTGGATACCCTCCCTACTCCAAGGCACCGCCCCGTGGGGCAGCTCAGACCTGGCCAATCGTAGTACTCCACTCCCCGGGTCATAGGGATTGGCCCAAGGCATAGCCACCTGACCCAAACTGAGCCAATCAGATTCTCCCCTGCAGGAATTTGAAATCTGCACAGACATCCCGGAATAGAAGGAAGTTGAGCTGCGTCTGATGACAGTGGTGTGGAGAAAGGCCATATAACACTCAAAGCCATCTCGGCTTCTTCCCCCCCCCCCCCCCCCCGCCCCAGGCCAGGTTACTATTACTTTCCTGTAGTGAGCTATCCCCATGCCGTTCCAATAAACTGGTACTTAAATGAGTTAAAATCTGTTTCTGTTGTAACCAACAGCCAAAACTGATACGGAATGTTCCAGTAACACTTAGAAGATCGAATAGGCTGAGTCGAGATGGGGGAGGTGCTAAGGGAAGACCATCCCCCCTCCCCTTGTCCTTCCCCTCACTGCCCTATCCCGGGCTGGGAATCTGATAGGCTTTGCTCCATGGGGTTAAATTATTAACTGATGTATGTTATGACCCCAACTATGTGTCCCCTGTGACTAAAGCTTTTGGAAAGGCATGGCAGCAAAATGCCAGGCTATCGGAGAGCTCTGGCTACAATTTTGGCTTAAAGTGGGATGCGTGGGCATGTGGAGATTCTCTTTTTACCTTTAGCAAATGCAACAGACATCTGGGGGTTGAATAATTGTGCTCTCTGCCTGTGCAAGTTATTAAGCTATGGTCTCACACTTTCTCCTTGGCCTGTTGGCTTCTGCTAATAGGGTGGGTCAGAGGGAGACTGGGAGGCAGGATGCAGGGAGAGAGATGTGCCACTTTTGGGAGCAGTTGCCTGTTTCTTGTCCCTGTCCCGTAACCTGACTCACCACACCCCCTGAGAGGTCCCAGCCCTAGATGGGACCAGCCCGGAGGTCCCTTCCTCAGCTGAGTTCTGTCCCTGTACTAAAATTAATGTCCTGATAGGAAGCAGCTACTTGGGAGGATGAAGAGAAGTGGGGAAGTCTTACCCCAGGCCCTTCTCAATCACATTCTATTATAAATCACTCCTTGCCAAAAAAGCTTAGCAATTCCTGGCCATGATTAAGTGTCACTTACTGGGGAGCAGCCTGGAGACAGAAGAAGTACAGACTTTCAAGCTGGGCAGAAAGGGCCTTCGCCTCACCCTCCATGCTTTAAAATGCCCTCATCTGACCTTCCTCTGGCCATGCCCTTCCCTACATGGGCCAAGCCCATGAGACCCAGGGCATATGTCCACCTGGAGCCTGGGATCCCCTTCTAGACCTGGCTTTAAGTACCCAAGATCATGGAATGTTCTGCCCAAATGGCCAGAGCCTGCTTCCGGGGCCCATGAGGGCCCCTTCCCTGAGTCATTCCTCTGGGGGCCCTCTGTGCTTCCAGGTTACACACCCCTGAGCCCCTGGTGCTGCTACAAGACAGCTGATGGAGGTGGGGGTGACCAGAGCTTGGATGGGCCCCCTGAGTTATCCCTGTGCGAGCAGGAGGCCCAGTCGTGTAGGACAGAGCTGAGTGGGAAGAAAAGGGGGAGCGGGGTCAACAAAAGGCCTCTCTTTGTGCTCTTGCCCCAGCCCCATAAATGTTAGGGGCGGGGCTGCTGACAGGAAGAAAATCAGCTCTGCTCCCTGGATCTCAGCCATGAGGCTGAGGGCTGAGGGGATGAACTAAGAGGCAGAACTGCAAGGCTGGGATCCAGATTCAAACATCATGATTTAACTGCCAATAAAGCTCCCCCAGATGGAATCAGTGAGTTTTGTTAAGCTTTACTGACAGAGACACTCTAAGCTGGACACGCAGGAGCTTATGATTATATCAACCCCAAGGCACACCCAGGCCCCAAAGCCCATGGCAGGGCCCAGCCCCAGCAGGCAAGTCTTGCCCGGTGCCCCTCAGGTGTGGCTCAGGTGAGCCCCGGATGGAGGATCCAGCAAGCAGATCCCAGGGAAGCCACAGTGGCCAACCAAGGACTCAACCGTTGGCTCACCTGGGGCAGTGACTCAGCATACATGTCTGCCTGCTTATTCACTGTTCCTGACCAGCAGGACATGCATCCTCTGGCCCGGTGTCCATCATCTCCTGTTCCCTTTTCCCTTCTTTAAATGGAAGCCTTTATTGTTATTCTGGCCCTCCCCCCAAAAAATTATATACCAGGTGAGTTGTGGGTGGCACATTTATCTTTTTGCGAGGTCGTGCAGAGCACATCCAGCCCTGAGGGGGAGGGGTATTCAATAGACTTCTGGTTGTCTCCCGGGGGGAAGGAGGTATGAGCAATGTGGTATTATCTTAAGCAGGAACATTTTTGAAATTGTGTATATGGGAAGAAGAGGGTGTGTGAGCTGGGCAGCAAAGTAACTCTTGTCTTTGTTCAGTCTACACCCACCTCCCACCCCTGACACTTCCAGTCACAGACCTTGAACCCCTGACTGCACAGAGAGGCCCCAGAGCCAGGTTAGAACAATCATTGCCCTTTGCCACAGTGATTGATTCAGGAAGGTCCTATGACAACAGCTGCCAATTTCAATTCTTCTGGCCGGAGCTGGTAGAAAAGAACTCTTTTCCTTCTTGGTAACTCAGGAAACTGTGAGTCCAAGGCTAGAATGTGAGTACGAGGCTGTCAGTGGTCATGTTCCCCTCTGTGTGGAGAGAGACCATCTGAAGCTGGAGAGAATGAGGCAACGGGGGGGGGGAGGAGTTTGTGTGTGTGTGTGTGTGTGTGTTCTAGAAGGCCAAAGTGTCTGGGTCTGGTCCCTGAAGTGACCATAAATTCCAATTCCTGTGCGTCTTCCTCACCTTTTGATTCTCTGGGCTTGCTCACCTTTTCTGCTTAAGCTAGTATAGAATGTACAATTATCTCTTTCACCTCAAAGTCCCAACAATTCAACCAATTCTGAACATTTGAGCAGAACGTTCCTAACCATGGCCGTTTACAATACTTTCTGGACTAGTCCAGGTAAGAGATGATGGACAGAATGGCATTGGAAAGGAGAAAAGGAAAAGACTCTAAAGAACTTTGGGAGATAGAATTAGGACTTAGTGGTTCACTTCACGTGGGGAATAAGATGAAGGGCATAGTCAAGGATGGCCATCTTGGGCGCCTGAGTGGTGGTGACAGTCACTGAGAAGTGAAATAGAAAAGAAGCGAGGTTGTAGGCTTTGGAGCAGAGGAATCCAAGTAGAGGCTCTCGGGAGGCCATTGACCACACTGGTCTGGGGCTTAGCAAAGTACCTTGGGCTACCGATGATAATTCAAACCATGAGTTAATAAAATGACCCAGGACAGCCTAGGGAGTGAGAAGATGAACATAGGACCCCAGAGAAAGTCCACTGTTCAGCTGCAATAGAAGGGCATGAGAAAGGCTGAGAAGGAGTAGCCAGACAGGCAGGAGGAAAACCGGGGGGGCGGGGGTGCCACAGACTCCAGAGGAAGGACAGATTTCAAAAAGAAGGGAGTGTTAGTGGTGGCCGCTCTTCTGAGACATCGCCCATGAGAGCCCACACTTAGGAGCTCCCTGACGACCTCGGGAGGCAGAGCCTGGCATGGTGGGAGCAGAAGCTGGGGAGTCTGGATTCAGGAGAGAACAGGAAGTAGGAAGTGGAGACAAAGTCAGGAAAATTTTGCTAATCTGTACAGTTTTAAAAAGAGGACAGCAACCAGAACTGAATAGGAGATGGGAGGGAGGCTATTTTAAATGTGGGAGACATTGGGACCATTTAAGTGACTTCAATGTTATTGCGTATGCATATGTGATCTCATCTGAACCCTCCAATAGCCCCCTGAGGAAGTTTTCCCATTCTACAGACGTGGAAACCGGACCTTGGACCACATGAGTGTTGGAAGTCCTGGGGAATCGGTGGTAGAGTCTGGAAGAGGAGACCCAGCCACCCCTTCCTTCCCTCGACACACCCGCTGTCACCCCCTCATACCACCGGCCCTGAGGCTGAGAAAGGCCACACCTTCACCAGGTCACACAGGCAGTAAGTGACAGCATCTGGATTTGAACTTGCATCTATAGATGTTGAGGTGTCATGCTCACCACTTCCAGGGAGCCCTCCCCACGGCTCCCGGGCCTTCTCCTGCACCCTCTCAAGCCCCATGTGGCCCCATCCCCACCAGGGTCCAAAGCCCCACAGCAGTGCGAGACAATGTGTCTGGGGGATGGGAGGCTGGCGGAGAACATACCAGCTCCTTCCCTTTTACTCAATGGTAAGTAAGGGAAAAGATGGTTTTTATATTAAAAATATAGAGACATTGTTATGCATAACACAGAATCACATGAACTCCTAAGATGAAACATGAAATTCCCATGAAATGTCTTGCTTGCAGTTGCCAGTTTGGACTCCAACCCGCTCCTGTTTAGAATATTTCAGAAGAAAACTATGAAACACAACAGGCCAACAGGGATGAAGGGCTTAGTATGGAATTTCAGAATTTCCAGCCTGTCCCACTCACCTTCCAGGCTCAGCTAACCCTATGGCCTCACAAGAACCTCGCTTGATGCCCCCTGTACCTCCCCTCAACTCTCCCCCCATCTGCCTTGGTTCCCCTGCAGCCTGGAATGGCCTCCTCCTCCTCATTTACTAGAAGCATGCTCATCTTCCAGGAAGTCCTCCAGGACTGCAGTGTCTCCCCTCAACTAAGCTCCTGAATTAAGTCAGCATGTTCACAGCTACGGGGCATGGTTGCATTATCCATCTACGGTGTGGGGTTTGTCTCACTAAGCATCTTGAGAGGACAGGCTACATCTGCTACATCTCTGTGCCCACACATGGAGCAAGATACCGTACTGTTCCCAGAGAAGTAAAAGCACCAACAGCCACACCAGCATAGATTTAATGAAGACTCATATCTATGATCTCCTTTGAACCACATGATAGCCCCACGAGGAAGTTTTCCCATTCTACCGATGTGATGACTGACCGGGAGAGACTAAGGGGTTCTCCCAAGGCCATGTAGGTAGAAGTGACAGCACCATTCTCAGGCCAGAATCTTGCTCTCAGCCACCATGAGAAGCAGGTGCTCAACAAATATTTATTGGCTTTTTCTTTTTCTTCTTCTGCCTCTTAAAATGTTAGCAGAGTACCATCAAGAGATCTTCATCGACTCTATTCGGAACAGAAGAATCACCTAGCAAAGCCCCTCCCTCATTCCTGACCCACAGAATCATTAGATACAATAAAATGGTTGTTGACGTAGAAAACTAAGTTTTGGAGTAGTTTCCTAGACAGCAACAGGAAGCTGGGACACCCTCACGAGGTCTCAAAGAGCATCTTCCTCAGAGATGGCATTTTGCCCTTTTTGGTAGGCGTATCACGGCTTATCAGGCAAAGTGTGTGTTGAATGCCCTCCCAGCTCCCCGTAGGTGCCCTGTCCCAATACCCAGTGCTTCTCAAGGTCCTCTGCCACACCCAAAGTTCCCCCCAAAGCCTTCCCGCCCCCAAGATGTCCCAAACCTCAGAATACTTCCCAGCTCTCCTGCCATCCTTCCACTCACCTGTGTTCACATGTGTTCCCATTTTTTTTTTTTAAGATTTTATTTATTTGACAGAGAGAGACACAGAGAGAGAGGGAACACAAGCAGGGGGAGTGGGAGAGGGAGAAGCAGGCTTCCGGCTGAGCAGGGAGCCCGATGCGGGGCTCGATCCCAGGACTCTGGGATCGTGACCTGAGCCAAAGGCAGACGCTTAACGACTGAGCCACCCGGGCGCCTCTATGTTCCTATTTTAAAGGAAGGATTTGGTAAACACAAAGAAACTCCAAGGTGAAGACTAGAAAGAGACCAACTAAAACAGCATCTCTGGGTGAGGCTTGGGAGAGAGAACCTGAGCATTCAGCAGTCCCCCTGGTATTTCTTCTCTATCTCACACCCATAGCCTCCTCCACGAACCAGATGAAGACCATCAACTTCACACCAGATGTGGGAAGATGCCTCCCCTCCGCTCCCTCTCCAGCAGTAGGGTCTCATGATTACTTGCTACCTTCTTTTTTTTAAATTTATTTGAGAGAGAGTGTGTGTATGCACATGTGTGTGTGCTCTTGAATGGGGAGAGGGCAAGAGGGAGGGGGGAGAGAGAATCTTCAAGCAGACTCCCCACTGAGCGCGGAGCCTGTCCTGGGGCTCGATCCCCCCACCTTGAGATCATGACCTGAGCTGAAATCAAGAGTCAGACGCTTAACTGACTGAGCCACCCAGGCGCCCCAATACTTGCTACCTGTTAAATCTAAAAATGACTTGATACTTTGTTTTCTTTGGAGCTACGGTATTACAGATTTCCTTCTCTTTTCAGGGAGAAAAGGTGTGTTAGGACCAAAAAACATAAGCATATGTAAGTTTTTTTCAGAGCCTCTCATAAACATCAGTCCTCCACTGGGAATCCTTTCTTCTGCTCTGCTCACCTCATCCCATCCTTCTCTTCCCACGCTGCTCGTATTATTAACCAAGAACCCACCGAAACTGGGATTGCCTTCAGCCCTGCCCAACTGCTTTGAATAAGCTATTAACCATATCCAAACAGGCCCTCTTAATAAAAAAAGATCACCCTGGAAGATAAATGTCATTCTCCTGTTATACGGCTGTCCATAAAACTCCAGACAGCTCCCTGTTCCTGGGTTCAGAGCACCTGCCCCTGCCCAGGGCATGTGCCATTTTCCCAATGGCTCCGAGAGAAGCAGAAAACCAGAGTCCACAGAATTGCGTTACTCTGCTTTGTCCTAAGCCAGATGCAGCACATGCTGCGGCCTTACCAGGTGGCTGGTCACCTGAAACATAAAGGTCTTCGTAAAGACCCTACAGCTGGAGGAGAACAAGTTCCACCTGCCAACACACCACCTAGAGGAGCTCCCCCACCCCCACCCCCGCAGGCCAGGCCATTCCTCATCCCACTGCCCCCACCCAAGTCACTCCCAACCTGGAAAGGCCCCTCTCCTTCCGTCTACCCCTCCAAAGTCCACTTCCAGCGCCCCCTCCTCCCTGAAGCCTCTGCGGACCACGCAAGGGACCTTTCTTGACACCCACGCTGCAGATGGCAACATGGGTCCAGCTTGTATCAGTTCTGGAGGCACCTCCAAACCGGGGGAGTAGAGTGGTTTGTGAACGCGGCCTGCGGTGCTGGGTGCTGGTCTCCCCAGCCTTACCTTTAAGTTCCCGGAGGGCAGAAAGTGTGCGCCTCCGGTGTTTGCATGCCCCACGATGTCTAGCAAAGGTCAAGGTGAATGGCAGACCCATGATACATGCTTTCTAAAGAAATGGAAGAGAACGGGCGCCACAGGGCTGCGTCCTTTGTTGGTGATGGACCCAACACTGTTCGTTGCCCTCAGTAAGCCCGCGGTGGGCTGCAGAGAGCCCGACACCGAGCCGCGTTCCAGGCTCCAGGACTCCGAGAACTCAGCCAGCAGGAGGGAGCCCTCTTGGGAAGCAGGCTGTACTGGGGTGGGGGGGAAGTGGTGGACCCTGAGCTTGAGAACCCCGAGGGGGCGGGACGGCCGGGCTGCCGGTGGCCGGTGCCCATCACCACCCCAGCCCCTTGGGAAGGTCCCTTCCGCGGCCGGGGACTCGAGGGCGCCGTGCTCGGGCGGCCCGTCGCTGCGGGGATCGGCGGCCTAGGGGACCGGACTGTCGCCCGCGGGGCTGAGCTTCTCCCCCGCCAGGGGGCCACGGTCCGCAGAGCCCGGCTCCCTGGACCGAGATGGGCCGATCCCACTGCGGGGTCGGGAGCCGCCGCGGTGCCTGCCGGAAAATCCGCTATTGAACCTGCGGTTAAAACGTTGGGGTCTTGAAAAGTTGGGTTGTAGTGTAAATCGGAACACGCGATCTCTCTGCCTTACAGGTGGCTGAAAGGGGAGCGAGCGCTGTGAGTGGAGGTTCCTGCGGGGGAGGGAGGATGCGAGGGAGGAAGAGAGGTTGGAAGGGAGGAAAGGCTGTCCAAGATCCAAGAAGGGAGGGACTCCGCTGGGAGGAGGTCAGAGTTCCTGTTGTTGGACTAGTTCGCCTTACGCAGCTGTGTGACCTGGGCTGATGCGCTTCCCCTCCAGGTCTCAGCTGCGAGAAAAAAAGGTTGGGTTACAGCAGTGGTTCTCCCAGTGGTCCCCAGACCAGCGATAGCAGCATCACCTGGGAACTTGTCAGAAATGCAAATTCTCCCCCCCAACCATGCCCACCCCCCCAAATAGGAAGCTCAAAGGTGAGCCCAGCAGGGTGTCTTTTTGAGCGAGCTCTCCAAGAGATTCTGATTCATGCTGGAGTTTCAGAACTGCTGGATGACATGATCTAGACAGTGTCTTGGAGAGAAGAGAGCGCATACTTAGAGCTGTGCATGAGGCCGCACGAGGCCCTCACTAATGTGGTCCTCATGTAACTCTCAGGCTCTCGAGTCAACAGGCCTCCTCCTCTGCATAAAACGGCCAAAACTTTCCTTAAGAAGAGTTGCTCTTTGAATCCTACTTAAAGCCATGGGATTTCAAAAACAGTCCTTTACACAGACTGTCCCCTCTTTTGAAATAGCTCTTTTCTTCCACTGACTGCCTCCTATTTGTCCCTCAGAACTTGTTTCAGTGGTCACCTCTTCCAGGAAGGCCTCCTAGTATCTCTCTTCTCATGTCAGGTGTCTCCCCTCGGTGCTCTTTTGGCACTTTATAAATATCTCTGTTAAATCACTTGCCACCTTTACCTGGTCCCTCACCAGACTGAGTGAGGTGTGGGCAGAAACGGTTTTATTTCTGCACATCCAGAGCCTGACACAATGCCAGTCTTAGCAGACGTCCTCGGTAAACATCACTGCAGAAGTGAGCGAAGGGAAGACTTGAGTCCTGGTGCCAGCGACCCAAGGGCTCAGACAATGAGTTTTGATTCTCATTAACCTCTAACCATTGATAGTTCCGTCCCCCTGTTTGTTTTTTTAAAACATATAATGTATTATTTATTTCAGGGGTACAGGTCTCTGATTCACCAGTCTTACACAATTCACTACTGGATATTTACCCCAAAGATACAAATGTAGTGATCCGAAGGGGCACATGCACCATCCTCCTGTTATAAATACCCAATGGCTGCTCGATCCTCAGTGCTCATTACTGTTAGTAATTCTCTACAGCATATTACATGATCCAAGCTCTTTCATATCTACTAGCCCACTTGAGCTTCTCAGCAATCTGGTGAAATAGGTTAGACCAGATATTGTTTTAATCATTTTAACAGCTGAGAAGATGAGTCACAGATATTAAATGGCTTTTCACGGTTACAGATTTCTGTAAAAATTATTTATTTCGTGTCTCCCCTGTGCAAGGCACTGTGATAGACACAATTGAAGACATGATCCTTGTCCTTCAGAAACCTATATTCTAGGAAAATCAAAACTTATCCTCCAAATAAACCACAGTATAAAGAGTGTATAATAAATCCAACCTTGAGTGCATCAGTCTATTAAGGCGCTAGGACTTTGGTGGACAGAGGAATCAGGGTAGCTAGGGGGGACATAATTGTGGCAGGTGCAAAAATCACATGAAGACTGGCTAGCTAATGCCCTCTGGGCAAACATAGCCCTAAATGCCAAGCTCACCTCTCTGGATTTCTGCCTTCTAGATTTTGGTTTGCTAATCCCTCACAGTTCTATTTGATTTTTGATATTATAGAGAAAAAAATTTTTTAAACATTTTTTCAGATTGTTTCAGTAGTTTTCAGAAGGAAGGTTAGCCCAGAGTAGCTGGACTGCCTCTACTAGAAGCAGAAGTCCGATATGGGGTCTGGATAGAGATAAAGGTCACAATTTTCGAGCAGTGGAGGGACGTGAGTAGAGAAATGAATCAGGAAGTGGGGTATGGGGTTGTTTGAGGGAGCAGTTGCAGGGGCCACTAGAAGGGTGACAACAGAAGAAAAGGGATTCCTTTTATTGGTGTCCTTCCCTTGCTCCAGCCAACATAAAGAATGAAAGAGGGGCGCCTGGGTGGCTCAGTCGTTAAGCGTCTGCCTTCGGCTCAGGTCATGATCCCAGGGTCCTGAGATCGAGCCCTGCATCAGGCTCCCTGCTCAGCGGGGAGCCTGCTTCTCCCTCTCCCACTCCCCCTGCTTGTGTTCCCTCTCTCACTGTGTCTCTCTCTGTCAAATAAATAAAATCTTTAAAAAAAAAAAAAAAAAGAATGAAAGAGTTTATTGGGTTAATTCTCATATTGGTCCTTCTAAGCCTACTTAAACCCATGGGATTTCAAAAACAGGCAGCATTGTCTGACTTACTTAATTGCTTCCTTTTTGGGGAGCCATCAATTCCAACTGCCACCTCTGTCCAGAGGAAAGGGAAGCCTAAGCCACAGACAGACTCACCCCAGTCCAGGAGCAGCGAACCATTGTCGCTGCTCTCCAGGGGCCACCTCGAGGGGCCTGGCCAGGCAGTGGGCGAGCTCAGGGACTGGAACCTGCACCAGCCCCAGGCACAAGACCAGTCAAGGTGCGGGGCTCTGTGTGTGGGCCTCTGGCTGCCCGCCTTCCCTGGCTATAGGCGCTGAGCCCTCACTGAGGGAAGGGCCCAGAAAACCTTCAAGAAGCCGGCCCTGACATTGCTGTCTTATGTGAGAGAAAGAAACCACTATTTGTTCAAGCTATTGTGGTGAGGTTTTCTATCCTTTGCAAATGAAACCCCCTTAACTGAGATAGGGAGATTTCAAATGCCAGGGCCCCACATCAGAGTAAAATCATCTCCGGCATTAGAGTGAAAACACAATCAAACAGCAAATGTTTATTGAACCTTCTGTGAGCCCAGCCCTGAGCTAGTTGGCTCTGTGGCAATATCACCAAGGTAGCAGGCCTTGAAGGCCCTCACACCTAACTGAGCGATATAATTAATACAAACGATATCTCATTATCAAATATTAGAAAAGTCTTTAAGATAATAGTTTTTGACATCTTTTTTCCCTCCATGGTACCCTCCCGACAAAACACCAGACAGAAACTCAGTGTATAAAACATACAATCTGCTTCTTTTAAAGAGAATGGGTACCTAGAAACCTACCCAATTGGCCCCTCTGTATCTTCTGTGATGGATGGTTGGAAATTTCCGACCTAGCACTGCATTGGATTTGAGAGTTGAGGAAGCTGGGTCTCCCTGGCGGATGAAAGCAGCTCGTTCTTGGAGAGGCGATAGGCTTGCCACGGTGCCTGAATGAAATCTTCAGCTCCGGGACCATCGTCAGGACTGTCTTCTTGCAGAGATCAGAGGTGGGTGGGGGAGAAGGTTTCATGTCGAATGGCCTTGCAGCAGCAAGATCTGGCATGGGAGCCCAAAGGAAAGGGGAATCCAAATGAGCCGAAGCAGCTAAAGCAAGCTTCATGGAGGAGGACCTGAGTAAGGTTATGAAATATGGATAAAGTCAAAATGGATCGGTGGTTCCATTGCCCCCCATCAGATATCTGGCAATGTCTCAACACATTTTTGGATGTCACAATTCAGGAGGGGCCGTGGCAGCTAGTGGGTAGGGGCCAGGGATGCTGCTAAAAGTTTTACAATGCACAGAACAGTCACCACAACAAAGAAATCCCCATCCCCAAATGCCAACTGTGCTGAGGCTGGGAACGCCTGGAATAGATGGGGAGAAGGGGAGAGCGGGTCAGGCAAGGGGTGGTGTGAGCCAACGCACAGAGGCAGAATGGGCTATAAGGGACTTGAAAACAGAGACCACCCTCTTCTCTGTACCCCCTCTTCTCTGTACCCCCAGCACACGTCAATAGCTCCCAGATGAGTAATTAGTGGTTGGATAAATGAATGAACGCTGGCCATCCTTGAATTCTCCTTGGCTCTTTGGCATAAAAGGCCTCTGCTCAGAATAAAGAAAGAAGTCAGCTTGGTTGATATTTTTTTCCCAGATCTCTCCTGCCCCACTTTTTCCTCATCCTAAATGTTTCCAATAGGTTGCTCTCTTACTTACTCACTCATCCTTCTCAACTTACGTACACTCTTACACCCAGCCTGCTCTCAACACTCACCCAACCTGCTATCTGGTGGCCTCCTGCAGGGTCTCAGGAGCTGGAGAAGGTGCCAGGCCTCACCCCCACTGAGCAGGCAACTGCGGGTGCTGGAAAACTGGGGGTCCTTTTGTATTCATCCGCTCTCCGACCTCCCACCTGTCCCACCTATAAGTTCGCCCGGTACCAGCATGTCCCCAGGATGGACCCTCAGACCCCAGAGAGTCCCACCCTCTTCTGGAAGGCTCTCTCGAGTAACTGATAGGTGCCTTAGGAGCCCAGATCCACTATACATCTTTTTATGCATATCCTGATGGGAGACATGTCCTTGAACTCTCATTGCTTCCCAGACCTCAATACCATCCATTTTATTTCTGCCAAGAGCAGCTCGCTGGTGGAACTGCTCAGGACAACAAACAAAGGCAGGGGCGAGCCCAGGGCTGCAAGCCATCTGGTTCTTGGCCAACAACGTGTCCAAGAGACAACAAAGGATTAAACAACCGTCAGAACAGCCAAAGCCAGGACACTGTCTGTGGCTGCCTCCATCCTGCTGCCCTCTTTTCTGTCCCTGTCCCAGCCCCCTCCTTTTTCAGGCCCACTGTTCTCTCTCTCTCTCTCTCTTTCTCTCTCCTTTACTCCGTATCAAAACACTTTCACAATATTTGCTATCAGTCACTGACCTCTCACTCTACTATAGATCCAAGTCTCCTCTTATCTCAGGTTCTAGAAGAAAAAGAGAAAAGGTTTGACCTCCACAAAATTCCTTTCAGGCTCTGGGATGCAAGAGGGGGTGGGATTTTGCACGGGGTTTATGCTGGGCTGTGGGCGACTCCTCCCTGGGATTCCTGAGATAACCGAGCACCATCACCTCCTTCCGAGAAGCCCAGCCTGCGCCTCTCAGATCAACTTATCCCCGTCCCTCAGAGGAGCACGATCAGGTCCAAAAGGCTCACCAGGTAGCTTGTTCGGGGCCACATGACTGAGTCAGTGCCGAAGACCGTGTTCAAATCCAGATGTGCTCCCCCGCAAGGGCCGCGGCCATAACGCTGGTCCGCGAGAGGACAGGAAGTGGCAGCAAAGAGCAGAGAAGGACGTGCACACATGGAAATGTGCTCCCATGCAGAATGCTGGCGTTTCCATGAAGATCAGTGGACACAAGCGCGCTCGTGCTAGAAACATGCACAGCTGGATGGGAGGCCTGGAAATTCCTCCCCGAACACTTACCATAAACCCAGATGCAGCAGGCCCCGGGGACGGGGAGCAGGGACGGGCCTGCACCAGAAGTCCTGCTCTGCCTCCATCAGAGCCCCTGAGAAAGCATTGCCTGGCCTCTCTGACAATTTAAAGCTAGAAAAGAGAAGCAGTGACAAGAGAAAGTGGTGTGGCTTCTCAGGACTTACATCAGAGCAAAAAGAAAGAACTGCCCAAAGCCATGAGAGGAACAAAATCCTTGGGAGGCAGTGATTTCTCTCCTCCTGTTGAAGCTGGATTTTAAAATAGCGTGGATACATAGATATGTATGGAATACACAAGAAGACCACCTATAGAAATATTAATATTTATCTCTGGATGCAGGGATGACATTGTTTTATTATTTTACATTCCTTTATTTTATAGTTTTTCTCCTTTGACCACTTCTGGATTTTCATGTTCTTTATCATAAATACCTCTTACTTTTATAATTCTATATATGAAAATAAAGAAGACCTGTACCCTATTTATGTTTTGAAGTTAATGATAATATTCCAGAAAAATGGAAGGAGGAGCTTTAAAAGTGTAGAGTGAAATTCTATGAGGAGTGTAAAAATATCCAAAGTCCAGAATGAACAGGATTTAGGAAAACAGCTAAGGATTCCAAATGGTTGAGTAAAGTTATGCTCAGAGAATGCAGAAAAGCAAGAAAAGGGCAAGCTGGCGCCTGGAAAAGGGGCCGTAATGTTAAAGCAAGAACAGAAAGAAAGCAGGACTCATCAACACCTCTTCTCGAACATCTTCACCAGAGAAGGTTATCCTCAAGTTGGAAAAGGCCAAGTAGACACACAGAATGCAAGCTTAACATGATCTGTTAATGAGGATTCTCGAATGCAGGTGACTGAATTCATCTGAGCTGATCGAGAGGAGGGAGGGGACTTTGGAGAAGAGGGTGGCTGGCGCCACTATGGGGAGGGCTGGTGCTATCCCAGCATGGGAAGAACTATGGGACAAAGGTCTCCGGCCTGGAAGGCCAGAAGGAGGCCTCGGGGCAACCAGGACTTGTGGGTCTCACTACTTTCACTCTCCCTGCTTTGTCCTTTCCCTCACTTCTCCTCCCTCGTGATCTCTGTCTTCTCTGCTTGTCTCCTTAGCTTCACTCTGCAGAGACAGCCCGCTCCAGCCAGGGGAGATAGCTATCAGTCAGACCTCCCCTCCCCACACCCAGCAGCCTCAGGACAAGAGTCCTCTCTCCCCTGGTGTCTGTAGACCAGTCCTGGGCTCTGGCTATCCTTCAGGCCTAGCAGCTGAAACCAATCACTGTCGCCAAGACTGGGGGTTCCACAGTCAGCCAGGCCCAAGTCATGAGCCCAGGCCTGTGGCCAGGTACGGGGACCGCTATCCCCAGCACCAACAAACAGTCTACAGCCACAACATAAGAGAAAAGAAACAGAAAGCTCCTACCTACTCCACCTGAGATTCTGTCTGGGCTCAAATGTTTTGCGCTCTATTATTTTAAAATAAATGTCCAAATTGTCATTGGGGTCACCAACAATAATCCTTGATAAATTGTAGAAAATAGCACACATTGTAAAAGGTGTCATATGTTTTCTTAAGGGAGACAAGTGGTGCTTCGAAAGACCCTCTGGGAAGTCCCCAACATGGAGCCTGAGTCCCCCTGACGGGTCCATGCAAAGCCCTTCTCCTTCTGCAGGGAAGCAAATTTGGATTAATGGTTGTCATTGTCTATTGTTCTTAAGCAAGGTCCACCAAGGCCATTGCACCCTTTCCAGAAAATCAGTTGCGTGTCCAGTGAGGGAGGAGAACACGAAGCACCTGCAGACCTACCACTCAATGTGCCTTTTGTTTAGAAACCATGCTGGGTTTATTGGTACAAATAAATTGATAGAAAACTTGTCTATCAGTGTTCCAAATAAAAGTAAAAGAAGGTTGTGTTTGGATGTCATCTTGGGCTCTTAATTTCTGCCCCGAGGGACATAATAAAAGAATTCAAAACATTCTTACCCCTGCCCCCAGGAACACTTAGTCAAGGGACAATGCTGGCCTAGGGTCAGGCCTTGGACAAGCCATTGCCCTTTGCCTCACTGTGGAGAGTGGCTCTTTTTACACCTAAGGGCATTCTGATTCCTGGCTGCCCCCTCGGAGCTGGGAAGGGACCAGGCAGCAACCTCAGGCATTATAACTTACAGGGGGTAAAAGGAAATGAAACTCCTTGACCCACCTCAGACCCTTGGGTTCTCAAAATTCCCATTCATTACAACCAAAGAATTGAAAAAGAACTTGGGGCGCCTGGGTGGCTCAGTTGGTTAAGCGACTGCCTTCGGCTCAGGTCATGATCCTGGAGTCCTGGGATCGAGTCCCGCATCGGGCTCCCTGCTCAGCAGGGGGTCTGCTTCTCCCTCTGACCCTCTTCCCTCTTGTGCTGTCTCTCACTCTCTCTCTCAAATAAATAAAATCTTTAAAAAAAAAAAAAAAAGAAAGAAAAGAAAAAGAACTTGCCTGGGAGCACAGCCCGGACTCTGGCTAACAGAATAATTCCAGACACTACAGAACTTTTAGTTTCATTTGCATGCCTATAAAATCATAGAATGGTATGTTGCTTGAGATTCATGATCCAACACCTCTTTACTAGAATGCCACACTCGGGGAGAAAGCATCGTTGCTGTTGGACACAGGCCCAGATAGCACTGAGGTGCCCTGGTTCTCATTTGCAAGAGTTCCTTGTGAGTACATGTCTCTCAGGAACCCGGAGAAAGGAAGACAGATTAGCAGAGCAGGCATTAGGCAATCTGGATGCTCTGCTCAATTCCTGCCATCTAACAAGTCCTTTGCTCATACCCGTGCATGTCAGCCACCGTGCTAGGCTTGGGGGGCGTGTAAAGATGAAAGACAATCCAGTGTACAAAGCTATTTCACAGATAGAATGATGGACCAAACAAACAAGAAAAAATTAAATGTAAAGTCTTGCATTTCAGTTGCAAAAATTCAAATCATACAATTACGTAGAAGGGAGGGCGCCTTCTCCAGGCTTCCTTCAAGACGAAGGAATAACCTATTGGTGACATTTCAAGATGTAAACAGCTGTGAAAGCACTTATAGCATCATAATATACATCTAGAAATGATTACAACATAATTTACAGCAGGATGGGGTAATGGGAAGATGGCACATGCATTGAGGTGACAAGGTTCATAGGAAAAAGAACGAAATCTTAGAAAAAATCAAGTAGCATTTTAAGCATGCTATGTAGAGATGTGGACAGAAAGAATGAAATAATCAGTTAAAAGTGGAAAGTGGTTGGCTCGGAGGAGTAGGAAAATAGATGGGGTGGGCTGGACAAGAAAGGACTGCTGTATTCTTGTAAAAAGCCTTGCATAACTAGCTACCCTTGAAGATTATGTACATGCTTTAAAATCGATCAAGTTTGTCAATTTTTTACCTTGATAAAAATTTCAACCAAATAAAAAATATTTTTGAAATATAATGTAAAATAGATATTCGCAGCATAGTCCTTTGAACTGTAAAATATCCCCTAAACAAACAATAGTGAAGCAATTTCGGAAGGGAAAATATTTATAATGCAGATGGTACAAAGTTAATACTTAAAACACTTTTAAGTATTAACTGCCGGTACACATGTGGTAAGAAAAAGGCAATCATTGCAAAGGAACATGGACAAATCAAACTAGAAAAAAATCCAGAGTTGCAAGTTCAGATAGCCTGCAAACATGGTAAGATGCTCAAATTCACTAGCCGGCATGGAAATAAATGTTACGTAGCAACAAAATATCACTTTATGCCCTTCTGAAGGGCAAAAAAATGAAAAGCTGTAACTCCTGTTGCTGGTGTGGATGCAGACAAACTGTCCTATGTTGCCGGTGGAAATATAAAATACCACAATCATTTGGGATGCCTGGGTGGTTCAGTTGGTTAAGGCTCCAGTCATGATCCCAGGGTCCTGAGATCAAGTCCCGCATCAGGCTCCCTGCTCAGCAGGGCGCCTGCTTCTCCCTCTGCCTGCTGCTCCCCCTGCTTGTGCTCTCTCTATATATGTCTGACAAATAAATAAATTAAATATTTTTTTAAAAAATATCACAACCATTTTAGACAGCCATCTAATGTTATCACTAAAATTCCAAATGCGTATGACATTTGACCTCGCAATCCCCCTGCTGGAAATCCATCCTACAGAAATAAAATCACTAGTACATATGTGTGAGAGCATTTGGGGCAGCAGGGCTTATAGTGAGGAAAAAAATGGAAACAAATGGAATAACCATTAATGGGGGAATACAACCACATCATGAATATTATGCTACTATTTAACAGAATAAATTAGACATATAACAGGTGGCTTAAAGGGGTCTCAGGGAAGCATGGTTGGATAAAAAAAGCAAGTACAATCAGGAGGTCCTAAGTGGTTTCATTTTAATAAACGAATCACCAAATATTGCTGTACATGTAATATTTGGGTCCACATCACATACAGGATAGGCACACATATCTGTACATGCACGTATATGTAAGCATTCGAGAACATGAAGAACTAGGGCAGGAGGGACAGTAGTTGTGACCTTGGCTCACCTGGCTGGGGCAGGACATGATGTAGAAGGAGAAATGGAGGGAAGGGAGAATGAAGAGTAAACCAAAAAAAGAAAAAACTGCGCACAGATGAGCATATGCATAATCATATTTTTTTCAGCTATTAAATTTGTGTTTGCAGGAGGTTACATGTCCAAGGATATTAAATTAAGACTGGTTCTTTTCCCCCCAAGACAGTAGAGAGCAGCTGCACCACCTCTACTCAGGCAAATGAGGTCCCTGGTCCCCTGCAGCCTGGACCTTGGATTTGGGACAGAAGCAGCAGCTTTGGAAAGTCTCCATCCACCTGCATTAAAATTATGACAAGATTTGGCAAATCAAAAACCATGATGCGCTACCACTTTACGCCTATTAGAATGGCTATTGTCCAAAAGACAAGAGATATCCAGACTTGGCGAGGATGCAAAGAAAAGGGAATCCCTGTGCACTGTTGGTGGGAATGTAGAATTTTCTAGAATGTAGATCCTATAAAAAACAGGATGGAGTTTTCTCAAAAAATTAAAAATAGAACTACCATATGATCCAGCAATTCC